AAAGTCTCCTGTGAGGGGTAGGTTTAGGGGTAGGGTTGGTGTAGGACAATAGAATATACGGTCTGTACAGTATAAAAACCATTACACCTATGGAGAGTCCCCATAAACCATAAAAACAAACCTGTGTGTGTGTGAATTTGGCTAAAGCATCTGTAGAGGGTTGTTGATGTCTGATTATTGATCACAGATTACAGCGCGTCTCTGGGCAGCGAGGAGGAGAGCGGCAAAGACTGGGACGAACTGGAGGAGGAAGCCAGGAAAGGTGAGAGACACACACAAATCCACATTAATCTGACGAGCTGCTGTTTCCCTCCAAAACCATGTCACTTCCTGGAGGTTTTGGCATATTAAGGCAAGACACCACAGGGGAATAGATCACCATATTTTCGTTGTTGATTAATCACAGTACAATAAGACAGTTGTTATGTGTTGCATGTTTTTTTTTTAATGATGTTTTCGCAATTGAGGCATCTTAAATGCACTAATTTGCGTACATTTCCAGCACATAAATCTGAAAATACTGTCAACAGACAAAAAAAAAAAAGTTTGGTTTAAAAAAAAAAAGTTCCAAAAAAACCATGTTTTTAGGAACAAAATGTTATAAATAATCACATGAATGATATATCAACAAACCCCTCAGTAAAATCTGTCAGAATATAGAGAGGAATAAAACTACTAAATCTGGTGTCTGTAAGTGCTGCTGAAGTGGAGGAAAAACTCTTTAAAGATATGTACTGTAATTAAAATCTATAGATGCAAATAGATAAAAGTGAAGAAGTAAAAGCTTGTGAATGATATATTAACAAACCCTTCTATCAAAGCCTTCAGAATATAGATATGAATAAAATTGTAAATTCTGGTGTACGTAAGTGCTGCTGAAGTGGAGGAAAAACTCTTTAAAGATATGTACTGTAATTAAAATCTATAGATGCAAATGTATAGTGTAATACAAAGTCAAATTTATATATGAACAAATCCCTCAGTAAAAACATTCAGAATACAGATATGAATAAAGCCGCTAAGATTGGTGTCTGTAAGTGCTGCTGAAGTGGAGATAAAACTCATTTTGAGAAAACCGCATTTAAAGATCTGTACTGCAATTGAAGTTTACACACACAAATAAAGTGTATTACAACTCAACTTCAGTGTGTATTTTGAATGTTTTTGTTTTTACATCTACTACACAATGCAGTGATTGGTCTGTTTGTAACGGTCTTTTATTTCCTTCCGTCAGCTGATCGCGAGAGTCAGTATGAGGATACAGAGGAGACCTTAAACAGGAAGAGGAAAGGCCGTTCATCGGCTCCGCCCCCCAGCAGCAAGAAGAAGAGACGACATTAGATAACACACTTACACTTACACTTACACACACAGACACACACTGCCAAATCAGTCTCCCACAGTCCTCTGACTGCCCCACACACACACACACACTGCCAAATCAGTCTCCCACAGTCCTCTGACTGCCCCACACACACACACACACACACACACACACTGTGTTTGGTGTAAATAGTGTCGGCCAGCGCTGATGTGTGTTGTAGAATAGTGGTTTTCATATCAGCGGATGGACGAACTCTCACTCGTCTCTCAGGTGTGTGTGTGTGTGTGTGTGTGTGTGTGTGAGAGCGTGTGTCTGGAGCAGTAGCTGTGATGTAGTGTTGGTGTTTTATGAGCGTTACATGACACTCATTCCTCAGCTCTTCCGGCTCATCTCTCTCACGCGTGCCGCTCCTTTTCGTTTATGAATAGAGATGCGGCGTTTCACTGCGATGTGCTTTTACGTTAGCACATAATGATTCACTTTGTGCTTTTGCTTTTTTCTAATGCGAGGGGATAAACACACACACACACATTGTAAACATACACTTTATTATTTTTTTTTCATTTAGTATTTTTTGCTCATTCTGGATTGGTAGTCTTGTATTGTTCAATCAAAAAAATGTTTTTCTTTTTTTTAATAAAAGTTAAGTGAAATTTAAAGAGACTTGTTTCTTATTTAAGCCTTATTTTAGGGGTCTAAGGGTGTGGTTTGTCATATTCATTGTGAAGTGAATGATGGTCTTTACATTTGTGACCCTGGAGCACAAAACCAGTCATAAGGGTCAATTTTTCGAAATTGAGATTTATGCAAATAAGCTTTCCATTGCTGTATTGTTTGTTAGGATAAGACAATATTTGGCTGAGATACAACTATTTGAAAATCTGGAATCTGAGGGTGCAAAAAAATCTAAATATTGAGAAAATCATCTTTAAAGTTGTCCAAATGAAGTTCTTAGCAATGCATATTACTAATCAAACATTAAGTTTTGATATATTTACGGTAGGAAATTTACTAAATATCTTCATGGAACATGATCTTTACTTAATATCCTAATGATTTTTGGCATAAAAGAGAAATGTATAATTGTGACCCATACAATGTATTGTTGGCTATTGCTACAAATATCCCCCAGCGACTTAACACTGCTTTTGTGCTGCAGGGTCACATTTGACTGGATGTCAGTGGAAATCGGTGAGGTTTGGTGTTGTAGCTGTCCCACCTATTTTTAGCCCAGTAAAAATTAATCTTTCTACTCCATTTGAGGTTTTAAATTGATCAAGATAAATCTGTTATTTACTCTCCATACCGTTCCAAACCTGGACACTTGTTTTTTTAGTATCATTAATGTATTACAGGTTTTTAATATTTTGAATGAGATGTTGCAGATGTGTTTTCATTTTTAGTTTATTTTATTTTTAGTAGTTTTTTTTTTGTCTATTTACATATGTTAAGCTTTTTTTTTTTCTTTTTAAAGTAATTTAGTATTTAAACTTTAAGTGGAAATGAGTAGTGAAACTAGCTGAAATATTACTGAAATATTAAAAAAGTTTATCTATTTCAGTTAATGCATTTTTAGTTTGAAGCAATACCTTTTTATAGTTTTTGTTTTAGTTGACAATCCTGGTGGGACTTACAGGTGCATCTCAATAAATTAGAATGTCGTGGAAAAGTTCATTTATTTCAGTAATTCAAGTCAAATTGTGAAACTTGTGTATTAAATAAATTCAATGCACACAGACTGAAGTAGTTTAAGTCTTTGGTTCTTTTAATTGTGATGATTTTGGCTCACATTTAACAAAAACCCACTAATTCACTATCTCAACAAATTAGAATATGGTGACATGCCAATCAGCTAATCAACTCCAAACACCTGCAAAGGTTTCCTGAGCCTTCAAAATGGTCTCTCAGTCTGGTTCACTAGGCTACACAATCATGGGGAAGACTGCTGATCTGACAGTTGTCCAGAAGACAATCATTGACACCCTTCACAAGGAGGGTAAGCCACAAACATTCATTGCCAAAGAAGCTGGCTGTTCACAGAGTGCTGTATCCAAGCATGCTAAAAGATAGTTGAGTGGAAGGAAAAAGTGTGGAAGAAAAAGATGCAAAACCAACCGAGAGAACCTTATGAGGATTGTCAAGCAAAATCAATTCAAGAATTTGAGTGAACTTCACAAGGAATGGACTGAGGCTGGGGTCAAGGCATCAAGAGCCACCACACACAGACGTGTCAAGGAATTTGGCTACAGTTGTCATATTCCTCTTGTTAAGCCACTCCTGAACCACAAACAACGTCAGAGGCGTCTTACCTGTATATTTTTGGTGGAGCACCTAATTGACTACTTTTTTTGGTACTTGGGGTTAGTTGATTTATACACATTTGTTTATAAACTTTAGGGAGAGTAAATGATAATAGAATGTTCATTTTTAGGTGAACTGTCCCTTTAAGAGAATAAACTGTCTTCTGTTGCATCAGTTTGACCAATTTAAGCTGATCACAGCACCCAGTTGCAAAGCAGATATGGTTGCTTTGAATCCTTAAACAGGCTTTCTCACGGAAATTTTAGCTATGTCATTGGATTGCAGTTAATTACGTGAACTGTATACATTTTCCGCTGCCTTAGTCCAGTTATTTCTGTGCTGATGTTCTGTATGTTTGTGTACGTGACTGTGGTGATGTATAATTCAGACGCAGGTTGTCTCACGCTTTCTCAGCATTCAAATCCGCATTCAAACCAGCTCTGTTTGCATGACTCTGTGTAGTATGAGCACAATAATTCACTGAGACTGATCACCTCCATCAGTTACGCTTAAAAACAGGTTAAATGAGTTAAAGACCATAGACCGTTCAAGCAAAGTCTGATTTGCACATGGTGGATCTAATGACCAAGTCTCTACATTTTAATTTAAAAAACCAGAGAGAAATACAATGCAAATAATGCTTTTTCTTGCATTGTTGGTTTTGTGTAATAAGCACTAGTTGCATGAATTGCATAATCTAGTATAAAGTTATGCTTGCATGAACACTTAAACTGATTAGTCTAATCTGAGAACTGAAAGAGAGACTAAATGCTTTTTAACTGCTAGCTGGCCGTACTAATTAAGACTATGCATGATCATATGATGGCTGTTTGTAATGAAGACAGAATGGATGCTTTTGTTGCTGCTGTTATGAACAGATTTTTTCCAGTTTCCGAAGCAAAGCATCTCTGTTCACCAGTCCTCCGCAGGTAATCCGTAGGGTTTATAAATGAAATATTGTGCACTGATGTCTAAAACGAGCCGGGTACCAACTCCATGATTTCATTAAATAAAGACTGCAGGACTTTGATGCAAATGACCAGAATCAGTGATCAGTAAGGACAGACGCTGATGCGCCTGAAGCATTCACTACATTTACATCTATTCATTTAGCAGATGGTTTATCCAAAGCAACTTACAAATGAGGAAAACACTTTTAGACCAGGACAATACCAAGTAAGTGTAATCACAGAACAATATAAAGAAAAGGAAGGAGTTAGTAGGTTGGTTTATATGTATTTTTTTATATGTATTGATTTATATTTACTTAAATGTTTGTTTATTAATTGACTTTTTACTTGTTAAATGTAGTTTGTTTATTTGTTCTGAGTTTATGTATTTTATTTATTGTATTTTTACATATTTTATGTATAATATTTTTATAGAATTTGGATTTGCCTCTGGCATTAGTGATGTGAATGACTAATGGACTGACTGAGATGATCAGGAGTTTCTGCCTTAAAGGGATAGTTCACCCAAAAATGAAAATGTGATGTTTATCTGCTTACCCCCAGGGCATCCAAGATGTTGGTGATTTGTTTCTTCAGTAGAACACAAACGAAGATTTTTAACTCAAACTATCAGTCCTGTAATGGCAGTCAATGGGCTCCATGGCTTTGAGAGTAAAAAGAAACATACACAGACAAAACCAAATGAAACCCTGCGGCTCGTGATGATACATTGAGGTCTTAAGACACGAAACAATCGGTCTGTGCAAGAAACTGAACAGTATATCATTTTTTACCTCTGATCCACCGCAATGTCTGAACGCGTTCACAACATCTGGCGCGTGAC